TTAAACTCCGTGACAAAAGGGGAAATAATCCAATTTAAAAATGATTAAGGGAGCCCAGCCAGCGTGGCTCAGCAGTTGAGCACTGACCTATGATCCAGGAGATCAAGGTTCAATTCCAGGTCAGGGCACATGCCCGGGTTGTGGACTCAATCTCCAGCAGGGGGTGTGCAGGAAGCAGCCAGTCAATGACTCTCTCACATCATTGATGTTTCTCTCTCTCTCCCTCTCCCTTCCTCTCTCTGAAATCAATAAAAATATGGTTTTTGTAAAAATGGTTAAAGGATCTAAACAGATATTTCCCCAAAGAGGACAAGCAAATGGCCAATAGGGGCATGAAAAGATGTTCAACATCATTAGTCATTAGGAAAATGCAAATCAAAACCAAAAAGAGATACCACATAACACCCACGAGAATGGCTAAAATAAAAAAGACAAAGCCCTAGCTGCTTTTGCTCAGTAGTTAGATCATCGGCCTGAGGAATAAAGGGTCCCCGATTCATGATTCTGGCCAAGGACACATACCTGGGTTGCAGGCTCAATCCCCAGCCCTGGTCCGGGCACATGCGGGAGACAACCGGTAGATGTCTCTCTCTCACATCAATGTTTCTCTCTCTCTTCTCTCCCTTCCATTCTCTCTGAAAAGCAATGGAAAAAAATATCCTCAGGTGAGGATTAAAAATTATAATATTAATAAATGTTGACGAGCATGTTGAGAAATTAGAACCCTTACACACTGCTGGTAAGAAAGTAAAATGATGCAGCCACTTTGGAAAGCAATCTGTCAGTTCCTAAAAAGGATAAACTTAGACTTACAGTATGACCCAGAAATTTCACTCTTGCTATATACCCAAGAGAACTGAAAATATTATGTCCACACACAAAAACTACACAAATGTTCACAGCAGCATTATTTATAATAGCCAAAAAGTGGAAATAACCCAAATGAAGTATATGCTATAACACGGGTGAACCTTGAAAATATTATGTTAAGTGAAAGAAGCCAATTACAAACAACCACATATTGTATGATTCTATATGATACTGTTGTAATTAACCTAGTTATTAATAGGAAAGGAGCAAAGGGAAGGCCAGACATTAAAGGCATGTCATCTGCACAGCTTCACCAGGAAGCTACAGCTTTACACTCCCCAGGGGTCCAACAAAGGGGAGATAGACACATGCCCAGTAAAGCGGGGGTGACATAGGAAAGGTGCTTGCTGTCAATCACACCTGGAGACAGAGATGGTTGGCCAGTATGGGTGTGGCCACTATAAGCACAGAAATGTGGAATACTTAATTCCCTAAACAAAGGAATTCTCTCTCTTGTGCTCTTGCTGCTCTTGGGGCTCTCCGGACTTGTGTGACTCTGGGCTTCCCTGCATTCGCATACACACAATGGACTTATGGACTGTAATTAGCCTGATGCTGAACTGGACCCAGCTCCAACATGGAAAGGAAACTCTGGACACTGGCTTTGCTTCTAGCTTTAAAGAAACCTCGGCTATACTTCTATGACTGAATTAAGAGAAATGGGACTTTGAAAACCCAGGGATATAACTGAATGCAAATAAAAATCACGCATTCTCCCAAGAGAATCTCACAAAGTTCTTTTTCTCGAAATATCGTAAGGACTCCACCCCCAGCAGTACTCATTGGGGAAGAGGACCCCCCACTTCGACCGATAACAGATACATATTAAATATCCAAAACAGGCAAATCCATTGAGACACAAAGTATATAAGTGGTTGTCTAGGCTCAGGGTATTAAGGAGAAATATTATTTGGATAATATTACATATAATTATTCTGTTCTAAAATACGCAGCCATTAATGTTCCCTGTGATTGGAATATTATAGTTATTCCAAGTTGTTGGGGATTTTTCCTAATAACAGGCACTAAAACAGTTTTCAAAAAGAGCTGTAAGCCCGGCCGGGCGTGGCTCAGTGGTTGAGCGTTGACCTAGGATCCAGGAGATCAGGGTTCGATTCCTGGTCGGGGCACATGCCTGGGTTGCGGGCTCAATCCCCAGTGGGGGGCCTGTAGGAGGCAGCTCATCAATGACTCTCTCATCATTGATGTTTCTATCTCTCTCTCTCCCTCTCCTTTCCTCTCCCTGAAATCAATAAAGATATGTTTAAAAAAAAAAAAAGAGAGCTGTAAAACATCATTAGTAGAAAGGGAGAGAAACAGTTTGCCAGCCCAAAATATGCCTTTTTGGGATACTAATTCTTTTAACCTGGTCATTTTTAAGAAACAAAAGACTCAGAAGAATCTTTGACTCCTCCACTTATCTGCCTAATGGAATTCAGATTTTAAAAACCTGTTACAGGAAGGGAGGTCACCCTAGCATATATGAATTCAGCGTGGCAGAGAGGGAGGAACCTAGCAGTCTGTTAGGATCCCCTCAGAATCCCATTGTTTCTGGGTGGCCCTGCAAGAATTTGTTTACCAAAGGTTTGCTCCTTCTCACATACCTGTGAATTGTTTTCCTTCAAGCCTCAATTGCCCTGTCTACAGGTCCCATGTTCTTATGGAACTACTGTATGTACATACGTAATAAATTTGGTTATTTACTCCTGTTAATCTGTCTCATGTCAATTTGATTAGACCAGCCAGAAGAACTATGAGGGAAATGAGAGAAAATTATCCTCCTCCCCCAGAGAATTATTTTCAAATAATAGAGGGTCTCTGGAAATCCTAATGAAAAATTCTAGAGAATAAAGGAAGTAAATTTGAATTTTTTTAAAGGGGAAAAAAAGGACTCATTCATCTATGTTTTGGGACATGGGAAACAAGAAGATTAAATTGGAGTCATATGACATTCTAAATACTATTCTCTCCACTTAACTTTCCATCCTTACACATTCCTCCATGATAAATCTTTTTATTCCTAATCTGTGCTTTTTTTCCTATATTTTGGGCTTCATAAAACTATGCTTCCCAAGTTTACCTGCCTTGCAACTGACTGCACATGACTTTGGCAATTAAGCTCTGAGCCTCAACTGTCATTAGCAGGCAGACTCAATTACACAGATACGTCTGCATGGGCCACATCCTCAGAGAACGAATCAAGAAAGAATACCAGTAACAAGTACACAGGGCAATGTTACTTAGCTAAGCTTTCAGGAAACCAGAAATGCCTTTCACTCTTGCACAAGTTCTCTGACTTTTGATTTCTAGACATCTACCCATATTTACACTTCTGAAAACAATAAGGAGTAAATGGAATTCTCTTAGGAGGGCCTAAGTAATGTGGAGGGGGGGAAATATGTCCCCCTAGGCCACATCAGGCATAACCAAGAGGAAGGGGAAAATTGGGCTCCTATTTGGAGACGTCCATAAAAGCAGTTTTTGCATGTCAATTAAAGTGCTATGTGGAGAAAAGAGTTGAAATAAGGGCAGATTTACCTAGGAATTCCAATGCAAGTTACAAAAACAGAAGTACACGGGAAGCAGAACATTTGTTAAATGTGCACTATTTGCCCTGCCCTTTACATACACGCTCTGCCGTGTATTTCAATAGTACTCAAATTTTTAGAGTCAAATGACAGGAAAATTTCTCTCAGCACCATCTTCAGGGTTAAAGCTACCAACGGGAAGAACAAAACAAAGCCAACTATATACATGAAAAAAACCTGCAGAAATAAAAATGCAGCCACTTCTACCACCTTCCCAATATTCTACACCTTAAGTAAATGTAACAATACTAGAATTTAATTCCCCAAAATATACAGTGCATTGCACCTGGTACCTAGTAGGTATTCAGGATTCCCTCGGTTGTTTGTTAAATGAATACTGAAAGTATTTCGAACACAAGCTTTTGCTTTGTTAGTGTCCATTCACAAAAACACATCTTAACACTAAAACACACACACACTCACCTAGATACAGCCACATTGATGTCTACTCCTAAAAATGCCCTCATGACAAAAAGTGGAAAATAAATACGATAGAATGCAACAGGATGATGACAGAGAAATTATGATGGGAAATGCCAAACACTTAAAATTCTTCCACTGTATTTTTGATGTCAGTTATCTTGGTTTCCATGGAAATTCACTGGAGTCTACAAAAAAGTAATCTATTCCTACATTGAAACTTTAAGACTGCTCTAGGCCATAAAGTCACACATAATCACAATCTTTTTACATCAGTATAAATGGCACATCAGAGAATCTGCATTTGAAGGGAAGCCGCATGTTTACAACAGATTACAACAAACCTCAACAGAAATGAATACTAATTATATCATTTATCACTTACAGAGTAGCTACCAGAAGTACCGGTAATTCTCACACTAGCGGACAAACGTTTTTTACTAGGGGCTCATTTCAATTCAGTGATCTTTTCTTCTCCAGACAAGTATACTGAAATCTGTTGTGTGTGGTGTTTTGTGTTTTTATTCTGCCTTTATTCTGTAACTTCAAACAAAACACAGGTAGAGAAACAGACTGAGATGTTTTGTTTTGGTGTTTAAAAATATCTGCAAGCAACGAAGTTTAACTCCACAGGGTTGTTTAGCAGCGGGTCGATGTTCCGAAGAAGCAAGCCGTAAAACACTCGCAAAATACGGTTCTTTCAAAGTAATTTTACATATAGGCAACAGATGAGAGAAAAACACATCCATCATCAGCAACAAAACAGAAGCCTTGTGCCTAGTGATCTGTAAACAAGCGCTCGGGCCAGCGCTCCGCCCTGGCACCCGAAAGGTAAGTGATGGGCACCACCCCGCGCCCATCCCGAAGCGATCCGCAGGGGCGGCCCGGGGAGGCTGACCTCCGCCTCGGCGGGCACGGTCCTCCGGCCGGGAGAAAGCCCTGAGAAGAACTCTTCTGCTTCCACAATTGGGCTAGAGTCGACCGTCCCTGCTTAACTTCCCCGCACTCACCCCGGCATTCTTAAACCTCCCTCAACTATCTGCACTTTGCCATATAGGGACTAGATGGGCGCCTGTGCCCTCGGGGCAAACCCCGAAGAAGGCGCCCAGGCGGACGGCTTACCGAGCAGCGAGCCTATGAAGATGACGACCTGCACGGTGGTGGTGAAGTGGCGGTACAGCTG